GATTGTGACCAAAAAAGAGGCCACAACAACTTGGTCTTCATACCTGCAATTTATTCATTTATTTACAAATATTCCGCAGCTAAAAATTTATTCGCTATTAACATAATGTTGTGTGAAATATGGCCTATAGGATAATTATTCTCAAGTAATATTCATTCTAGCCTATCTGATTCACTATCTCAATGTTTTATATAGACTTATTTTATACTCCGAGTAACCATCATACTGCTTAAATGGTAACTGAGGGCTTGTCTTATTGATTATAATTCTGCTTACTACTTGTTTCCATGGGTAGCATATCCCTCGAAATGTTTATAATATACAGGTTATTTAGTTTTACATCCTGAGACCACCCAAGGCACCTAAACCGTCAGGAGATTCCAATAACTAAAGAAATTCTACCTAATCATAAACAATTCAAACTTAATTTTAACCAAATCACTCAAAACCTGATCCGGTTTACTTTAAGTATGATTAAATAAATCTGGAAGCCAATTAAGAATAGATTATCTGAGAAGAATGATAAGCATAAAAACTTTTGAAAGATTAATTATGTTGAGGTCCCGAGTGATTATTTTCTTGTATAAGAACATTATTCAGCATGGAAATCTCAAGATGATGTATAACTTATAGTAAATGTCTTGCTAGATCAAATGCATGGATCTCACGATGCCATTGAATTTACTTGGCCTTATTTACAAAAAAGCTTTCGCATCCGGATTCAGCAACCTTTTCTAGTTCTCTTCTCATCAGCCCTCTCAACAGTATTCGATTTGGTCGTGTATGTTAAGAAACAACTTTGTCACTCCATCAAGTAGCCCCAACAGTAAGGCTTTCAGAATTCAGGTGTGATTTCACATATATGGCGGAATTGTTGTCTATACTGAAGTAACATTAAGTTAGTTTCGTCATTTGGCCCCAATGGAAGCAAATGGCTTTCCTGATAGCTGTGACTATCCAGTTATACGAATCAACCTTCGGCCCATCATTCTGTGACACCGAGGAAGCAGAAGAAATGTTTTCAATAAGGCAAATTTGTGATTATCATTACAATCCGCCAAGTTACTACATGCGTTGCGAGAATATTTTGAAACGTTAAATATATCTTAATAAGGAATATTGGTTAAATCAGGCCATTTAAGGTTATTTAGAGCTGACCGATTAATTCTCTTCGTGAAGCGAGTGGAACTCGGATAGCACTGGGTGAAAAAGAATAAATCGTTTCATCAGGCACATTTCCATAAAATGAAATTCTCTACAATAATTTTCTTGAGAAGATTCTTCGAAATCAAATCACACTTTATTTGAACATCGTAGTAACGCTGATTTACTGATGCAATCAAATGTTTTCGGATTATTCTCATTTGCCTAAGGGCCATAGTGTGCAGCATATTGCAAAGGCTGCAAATCTGTACAAATGCAATAGGTTGAACATATATCATATATATATATATATATGATCTACTGGTATTCTCGAAAGCCGAATAAAAACGAAAAATAAGTAACGTAGTCGATTGCTATATCAAATGCAACTTTGCTTCGTCGATAATCCCACCACCGTATGTGATATGGGAAAATGCTTGGCGTCTCCCGAAATTCGCATCTGCCCTGTAACCCAAGGACATTCGTAGCATTGAGGCGTAGTGGTTAACGTTTCGAGATTATACGCTGCTCTGTCATTGTTCGAGTCCCGTTGGAAGTGTTGTTAAGACGCAGGCAAGGTTGAAACTGCAACCCGCCCTGGATGAGGATTCCTTTTGGGAAAGCAAGGCAATGCGAAATCTAACTGGAACGTCATGTCTACTCATATTATTGTGGGAAAATTCAACAATCATCCCCAAACGAAATAGTATGAACACATCTCATAGCCAGTATAGGAATACTTTGTTCTGAAAAAAAACACAGTAAAATGTGGCATTCGAGAGTTAATCTGAGGAAATCGAATTTGAAAAGTTGCATGAAAACATTCTACGCGCAAGTCTCATCTGATCATCTGATCTCATGCCGACCAAAAGAGCAGCCCCGCCCACAAGGCTTTGGAAGAGTAGCAACATCTTAAACAAAATGACAATCTCACGAAACCTCAACAAGCATTCTCGCCGAATCTGAGTCCTCCGCTGACCTCGACGGCCATCAACAACGAATGAGAGTGCTTCGACCTTAGTTGACCTGACAAACAGGATTGGCCTTCGGTGTTCCAACGAGCTCGAATGAGTGTTTGCAAGTGGCGGCCTGTGCGTGTATGTGTGAGGAAGAGTGAGGGCAGCAGGGGGCCGCAGTTGACGAATGGACACATCAAGCCAAAGCTACTCAAATTTCTCAGCCCACAAGTCACATTCATAATGAAGCAGGTGGGTCCGAGCAGGATTCCATGACTGACATATGTCTGTCTGCAGACCTCTCTTTCGTCATTCTGTCCGGTCTCGGACAAACAAACTAAAAGCAACTAGTGTCCACCCCTTGTCGAGCCCGACGCCGACATTCTTCCATGACTGGACAAGACTTGACGAGGGGGTGTTTTCAATCCTCGCTCCTCGTCTTGTCTCCGGCGTGGACTGGTTGCGTTTCCTGCACCTGCGTGCAGTTTTATGAAGGAGGATACAGTTTCCCCTTTCTTCCTATCTCCTCCACTTCGCCAGCACCAGCTAGTACACGCAACGACACAGAGACATGCCAATTCGTTCGTTCTTATACTCGCCCGCCTTCATACGCATGCACACGTAAGGATGCATACGACGCTTTCCACCTCCA